CAGCGTCCACGTTCGGCCGCCTTTGTCTCCCCAGTGCTGACGTTTACGCGCCGCAGCGGCTACTCCGTTTAAGGCTGAGTCGACCTAGGGGATGCCCAGAAGCGGTTCAAAATATTCACCGTCGCTGGGCGAAAATTCAACTCGTGTCGCCGGGTTCCCATGGGAGTGCAGCGCTCATCGCTACACGCAGACACGAAGCAAAGATCCCCCGTATAGCCTTTCACAGACTGTCGGGGCAAGTGCCGTGAGCCAGCACCTATGAAGTCCGGCACGTCGCACGAGGGTTGGTGGCCAGCACCACGCCCTGCGTGCCGCCTTTGTCTCCCTCGTGGCGATGTTTACGACACACCACACCGGGTACTCGCTCGAGGCTGAGTCGACCTCGGCGTTAGCCGGGACCGGTTCTGATAATCGTCACTGGTATTGGTGGCCGCGAGCAGGAAATCGAACTCGGGGTCGCCGGGTTCGTAGCTTAGCGCGCTAACCACTGCGCCACCGCTCCCCCACACACCTAGTTATTTTCACACACACGCAACGCGCAACACGCAGAGAAAACGTGCGCGTGCGCGCAAGGGAGGGAGAAGGGACTCACGGAGAGAAAATGTAACCGAGGCGTGTCACCGACTTTGAGAAATTGGGGAGGGGGGGGGGTGCTTGTGTTATATATCATTTCATTTCACGCTCGCCGGCTCATGTAAGTAAAGGACCCACTGGGATCGATTGGACGTAGGCGGGCAGGGGGGGGGGAGACACGCGCCACATCAGACGGAGCACCCTTCGGTCAGCACCTCTCCCACAGGCTCTCTGCTTCTCATAAAATCTGCAATTGATGCCTCGCTCCAACACAGATGTTCTGTTCGCGCGCGTGTGCTCGCAAACAGCACTCCCCCCCCATCAGTCCGTTGAAGACTATACGGGGGACCTTTGTCTTTGTGTGTTCGTAGCGAACGTATGTGACGTACACGAACGTGACTGTAGGTGGATACGCAGCCTGTAGACTTGTTGGGAGGCAAGTGCGGTTAGCGAGTACCTATTAAGGCATGTATATGTGAATATATACACGTTAATATGCACATGCAAGGACAAAGATCCCCGTATAGACTTTAACAGCTTGTTGGCACGGCACACGAGGGGTGAGGGGCCAGCACCACGCCCGGCCTCCTTTGTCTCCCTAGTGGCGATGTTTGCACTCATTTAAGGCTGAGTCGACCTAGCAGAGGTCCAATTCAAATATTGTCCGCAGTTATTGATTGTGAGCGGGATTCGAACCTGTGTCCGTAGCTCAGTGTACTAACCGCTCTGCCACCGCACCCCACAACGCACACTTGCATGGAATTCCATATAAAGCCTTTAACAGACTGTTAGGGTAAGTACTGTTAGTGCCCATTTATTAAGGCCGGTCCAACGCCACGCCCGGCCGCCTTTGTCTCGCCAGCGACGATGTTTACACACCACACCAGGTACATATCTGAGGCTGATTCAACCTCGGCGCGACCGGTTTAGATAATAAGGTCCGATCCAGATAATTGTCACTGGTGTTGGCCGTGAGCGGGAATCGAACTCTGGCCGGCGGGTTCGTACCACATAAAGATAAAGATCCCCTGTATAGCCTTAACAGACTGTAGGGGCAAGTGCTGTTAGCGAGCACCTATGAAGGCCGGAACGGTACACGAGGGGGTGGGAGGCCAGCACCACGCCCGACCGCCTTTGTCTCCCTAGTGGCAATGTTTACACACCGCACCAGGTACTCATTTGAGGCTGAGTCGACCTAGGGGAGGCCCGGGACCGGTTCAGATAATTGTCACTGATGTTGGCAGTGAGCGGGAATCGAACCCGTGTCGCCGGGTTCATAGCGCAGCGCGCTAACTGCTACACTATCGCTCCCCACACACACACATATACACACACACTCTTCCCTCCCCCCCACCCCCACCTATACCCGCCATCCGATGGCCCCATCACAAACAAGCTGGCGAAATCGCGGGGATTCGTGCCTCGCCAAAAATAATCTTTTGGGAGCGATGCATAGATGTCGCATGCAATCCATCACCTGTCTGGGCAGTGCGCTCGTTTGAATCTTAAGGAGCCGCATTGAAGCTCCCCCGCCGTCACCACTACTGCCTTTGCTTTTCTTGATTTTGTAACATTATTGTTTTTTATTATTTTATTGCGCGGATTTCGCAACCAAAAACACTGGCCCACCCACGTGCTCTTGGCACACGCGTTCGACGAGGAGGACTGTGGAAAGGTTCGCTGTGGCCATGCAACTAAACTATGGACCCGTATGGCAAACCCATTGGGGGAGGAGGAGGAGGATGAAGCCCTCTTGTCGGTTTATTATTTGTATTTTTAATATTTAATTTTGTTATTTTAATTTTCTATCTACTTGACTACCGAAAGAACCAAGAATATGAACCCTCTTCTTGGTTCTTTCGGTAAAGTCACGTAGAAGGGAAATAATAAAATAATGAAAATAAAACATAATAAAATAATATATATTTTTTATTATGTTTTATTTGTATTATTTTATTTTAAAATATATATATTATTGTATTATGTTTTATTTTTATTACTTTATTTTTTTCCCTTCTACGTGACATTACAGAAAGGACCAAGAGGATGAATCCCTGCAGTCACGAAAGCTTTAAATCGAAATATGAACCCTCTTTCCGTGGCCAGTCGACCTCGACATTGTCATTGAGCTACCGCATTTATTGCTGCGATCATACGCAAGAATAGAATAAAAATAAACGTAATTGCTAAAGAATATACATCATGTGCGACGTTTCAGGCAACGGCCCTTCCTCATCGCACATCATAAATAGAGAATGTCAGAGACATTGGTTGGATAATAAGAGATGGAAACTGCACCCAACAACACCAAGGGGCCTCATTGGAAATTAAATTTTGACTTAAAATTTTCGTGACTGTAGGAATAAAAATTAACATAATAAAAAAATAAAAAAAATAAAAACCAAAACTCACGACGTTTCGATCATAACAAAAGCGGCTAAATGCAGTCTGAATTCAGCAGCTTTTCCCCCTCTTTCCTCCTGACGACGATCGCTTGTGTGGTGATCGAAACGTCTTGAGTTTTTTGGTTTTTATTTTATTTTTATTTTATTTTCTATCTACGTGACTTTACCGAAAGAACCAAAGAAAATGGAAATGAAATGTTTGAATGTTTTCTGATGACCAGCTTTTTTTTTGGTCTGTGTTCACCAGTTATTTATTTATGTAACTCCCGAATGAAGCCCTTTCGTCGTGGCCAGCAAACCTCCGTCGACAGTGGCCATCTCGCTCTTGAAAAATAGTGCTGCACATTATTGCACAATAATTGAAAGAACAGAATTGCAAGGATGTGCGTGGGGATGGATGGTTGGCTTGTATTTTTTTTTTACTTTTAAAATTATTCTTTAAAAAAAAAAGATAGAAAAATAGCACGGAGAAGCGATGGACACGCAGAAAAAAAAATCCACAAGAGTTTTTTTTGGGTGAGATCACGTAAATATAAATGTGTCTTTAAACCCGCCACTCCCCGACACGGCCTGTTAGTAAACTTTGTCACGAAAACAAAACATTGCAATTCGTTACTAATTGGCATGCTTTGTTCACACGACAAACTTTACTAATTGGCCGTGTCGGATGGTGGGTGGTTTAACGATACAATAATATTTTACGCGATCTAACAAAAAAAACCTCCATTATGGATAATATTGGTCGCGTTAAACAGAAAGAAAAAAAATACAAAATCGAGAGGCTTGGCGAAGATGCGTTCCAGGAACTCCGAATCGACCCTGAAACATCGCAGGGATGAATATCCGCTGTTAAAAAAAATACTCCGGTAAACAATAGGTAAAGGCGCAGCCCTGCAATTACTTGCTCACACCCCTTGCTGGTGGAAGGGCCTCCACTACAGCGAACCCTAGCAAGTGTTTGTTTGGTATACTCCTCCACCACGTTGACCAGACGCGTTGGAAGATGTGGGTGTACCGTGTACCCGCACTTTATCCCACCACTCGCGACCTGCCGATCAACTAAAAGTGGTCTACTCATTTATACCGCCGCTCCTGCTGCTGCTGCTGCTGCTGCTGCAGGGTGAAGAGAGAGAGGGGTAGAGCGCATTTAGGAAACTTGACCCGTTGTTGCCACTGCCGCTCTGGGAGATAGAATTTAATCGGCGACCTCTGGATTGCAATTGCAGTGCGTTGACCACTGCACCATTGCAGCAGTGGCAGATACTAATATATCCGTAGGACAGCCCCTCGCGACTTTCTGTAAATCGGTGCGCACGTGGTTTATTAACCCCCTCCGGTAATATGAAGGCGATGATGATAATGACGACACACTCTTGAGATGATGACGATGATGATGACATATTCTTGAAATGACAGTGATGCATTCTTGAGATGATGATGACGACACAATTTTGAAATGATGATGACATATTCTTGAAATGACAATGATGCATTCTTGAGATGATGATTACGACACAATCTTGAGATGATGACGATGATGATGACATTTTCTTGAAATGACAGTGATGCATTCTTGAGATGATGATTAACTCTTGAGATGATGATGACGACACTCTCTTGAGATGATGACAATAATGATGACGTATTCTTGAAATGACAGTGATGCATTCTTGAGATGATGATGACGACGCAATTTTGAGATGATGATTCACTCTAGAGATGATGATGGTCTACCATTGTGATGGAGCTGATGATGATGATCACAGTGATTTGATGATTTGACCCACGACCAGGATTCGAACTCGCAACCTTCGCTTTCGTGAGTCAAAACGAACGCTCAACCGCTGTAGCTTCTCCATCTCGCCTGGTTAAACAAACTGAAAACCTTACAATGCTAAAGTGAAACAAATACATATTTATTGAAACGAAGTAAACCGTCGTGCCATCGCGATACGCTGGGATTAAACTTGCATGGCTTACGCGACCGTGCGTGCGTGTGCGCGCGTGTGCGCGTGCGTGCAGGTGATGCGCGTGCCCGTGGAGACGTGCCACCGCTACGTGGACTGCGGACAGTGCCTGGGGTCCGGAGACCCCCACTGCGGGTGGTGCTCGCTGCACAACATGTGAGAGCCCCCCCCCCCATCCCACTACCCCCCTATCCCCCATCCCCTACCCCTCACCCCCCTACCCTCCTAACCCCCTATCCCTCTATCCTCTTACCCCCCTATCTCCCTACCCCCCATCACCCTATCCCCCTTATCCCCCTACTCCCCATCCCCCTATGCTCTTACCCCCCTATCCACCTACCCCCGCGCTCCCCTACTGCCCCCCCTCCCCCTAATGCATGCACTCACGGTTTTCATTAAGCACACACACGTGTGTGTACGTGTGCGCACACACGTGTACGTGTGCACAACCCATATACAAGTGTGCACACGTGTGTATGGGTTAACTCTGCCTGGAGCGGTGTATAAACAACGCCACTAGGGAGACAAAGGCGGCCCGGCGTGGTGCTGGTCACCCACCCCGCATCGTGTACTGTGCCGACCGTAATAGTTTGCTACTCGCTTCGAGAAAGCACGATAATGGACTCTGCTGCTGCTCTTGTTGTTGTTGTTGTCGATGCTGCTATACTCACGGAACGCGGCTTCGTCGCTTCCCGCGAGGAGGAGGATGAAAGAGGTGGTTGGGGTGGAGGAGGAGGAGGAGAGAGAGGAGGGAGGATGATGAGGCTTAATGGCAGTCACGTGTGCGAAGCGACGGTGTTCATTGTCAAATTCGCAAGCAACCAAAAAGGAATCCATGAAAGCGGGTTGTTCTGCCTGGAATGAATGGGCGGGGGGCGGGGGGGTTCGTGTGGGGGGGGGGGCTCATCTTCATTAATCTCTATTCACGGAATAATTCGATGTCTCCTGTCTAGTGCTTCGCCACCAAACTTTTCAGGACGTGGGTCCGTCCCAAACAAAAAAAAACCCTTGACAATAAAAGCTACGATTTCCAGGCAAACACTGAAATCAAATAAATGTATTTTTTTATATTTTAATAGCTTTTTTCTCTTCTTCAAGAGAATAGTTTAATCTTTTTTTACCGTTCGCATTCAGAACCCTTGTACCGAAAAAAAAGAATAATTGGACGTGCCGTGACAATTCAAATGTTTCGACGGCCGCGCATGTAAACGTTGTCACTTTTAATAATCCTTTACTGGGGCGAGCTCAAGGGGAGGATGAAGTTGGGGGAGGAGGGAACGGGGGCAGACGGGTATGGGAGTGGATTTCTTCTTCTTTAGTGCTGCCTAACGGCGTGTGCGACTTCACGATGATATTGGTCCCGGTCTAGCACGGCGTGTAGAGTTTGTGCTGTTGTTAATTGTAGCCATGTTTTGATGTTACTGAGCCATGTCGTTTTTGGCCGTCCTGGTCGTTTTTTCCCTTCGATTTTTCCTTCCAGGATTTGCTTTAATAGCTGGTATTTGTGGTCGTTTCGGGCAATGTGGCCTAGGTAGTAACACTTCCTGCTAATGATGGTCTTCAGCAGTTGCCTGTCAGTGCCCATATCCTGCAGAACTTGTGTGTTGGTGGTTTTGGCTGTCCATGGGATGTCAGCATTCTTCGATACAGCCACATTTCGAGTGGATTTAAAGTTGTAGTAATACAAATCTGGCGTTTGTTTAACGTTGGATGCTGCCACATCGGTCTGACAATGAGTGCACGGTAAGCAATCCCCAGGGGTCTCCGCTTTCTAAATGATTTCCCGACGTGGTAGTGGGGTATAATGGAGCGAATTTCTGAATGCAGTGACTGGTCTCCCTCGCTCTACGCGGGTTTCGGTTTGTGCGATTCCGTGCAGTATACACGGCCAACACGACTTCTACGCCAAACCAAATTCTACTCCAACCCGACTTCTACCAAAACCCCATGCGGTTTAAGTTCACTCATATCGCGGCTATGCAGTCAGACGTGTAGCAACATTGTGTACTATGTGTACTGTGTGTCTGTACTGTGTGTTTGTACTGTGTGCACTGTGTGTACTGTGTGCGTGTACCACGTGTAGTATATGTGTACTGTATATACTGTAGGTGTACTGTGTGCAGTGTATGTATACTGTGTGTAGTGTGTGTGTACTGTGTGTAGTGTGTGTGTACTGTTTGTGTTTTCTGTGTACATAGGGTGTGTGTACTGTGTATGTACTGTGTGTGTGTACACTGTGTGTGTACTGTGTGTGTGTGTACTGTGTGTGTACTGTGTGTATGTGTACTGTGTGTGTACTGTGTGTGTGTACACCGTGTATGTACTGTGTGTGTACTGTGTGTGTACTATGTGTGTGTGTACTGTGTGTGTACTGTGTGTGTACTGTGAGTGTACTGTGTGTACTGTGAGTGTACTGTGTGTACTGTGTGCGCTACTCGGCAGGCAGCTGTCTCATCATGCAGTTTCGCTTTGCGCGCCCTTTTCTTTGGCACGCATCTACTACTACTACGACTACCGCGTAAAGCGAGGGAAACCTGTACTGTGTACCCATGGTCTCGGGCTCGTATACCATGCATACCCCTACCGCTTGCGTCCACTCAAGGGGAGAGTTAACGGTTTCACCGCGGTTAGTTGATCGTCAGGTTGCATGTGGTGGGGTAAAGTGTGGGGGCTCTTAACTTATTCCATGATATCTGGCCAGCGTGTAAGGGTAGACCAAAGCGAGATCTCCTTTATTAGTGTATCCAGAGCCGGCCCTAGACCTTTGGGTGCCCTAAGCAAAATTTGTTTGGAGGCCCATTTCTTTTTATTTATTTATTTTATGTTACTTTTGATGTATGATTTTTTTCACCCACTCGCTAGCAGTGACTCTTGGGGGCCCTCTGCTGGCCACGGGGCCCTTTGCAATGGCAAGGGTCGCTTAGTGGCTGGGCCGGCTCTGAGTGTATCTATCACAGACGCTCAGCGCAGGCCCGAAAACGCTGAACAGCTCGTGGCAATCGGAGAATTGAGTTTGGGTTACTGCCAGGGCTTGGGAAGAGAGATGATGGGAAGAGAGACGATGGGAGGAGGGAATTCCACATGCAAGCGGTGCGAGGGAAGACGCAAAAATTAACCCGTAAAAACAAAGTTTTTCACTCTAAATCCTTTATATGCGTGGCGGCTAGAGTCATCTCGTCCTCTGGCTTGAGATGGCTGCCACCTATGGGTCAGATGATTGTCTGCCAGCATTAAGCAATTGGTAATTAAATATTGATTTATTTTTCCATAAACAGTGTCAAATTTTGGAATTTTTTTTTTACGAAAATTAATTGTCACGCGCAACGAGTCTGTGTGCAAAATGTGAGCTCGATTGGATCACGGGAAGTGGGTTAAAAAACGACCGAAAATTTGCACGGTCGTGAGCAAGCAAGCACGCAAGCACGCAAGCAAGCAAGCGAACTTAATATAAATTATTTAAAAAGAGAACCGCTGTGACATCGTGCAGTGTTGTTAGTGGGCGATCGAGTGGCGAATGAGTGGGTGAGTGTTTAGGTGGACGTACTTTCCCCCACACCTCCGATTAGGACTCGTGGCTACGTAGGGTGCGAACGAAGTTCAGCATACATACACGAGTGGAGTGAGCGAGCGAGTTGGTGGGTGGGTGAGTTAGTGAGTGGTTGAGTGAGTTGAGTGGGTGAGTGAGTGATTGAGTGGGTAAGTGAGTGCGTGGGTCAGTGAGTGAATGAGTGAGTGGGTGATTGAGTGAGTGGGAGAGTGAGTGAATGAGTAGATGGGCGAGTGAATGAGTGAGTGAATGGGTGAGTGAATTGTTGTGACATGCAGAGTTGGTGGTGGTTGAACTTAGTATGGATGCGAATAAACAGCGAGTGTCTGGTAGAGACCGAGTCCTCAGCATGGGAGGAATATGGGAGGAGGAATCAACTAGCAAAGTTCGCAGGAGCAGGAAACACGCTAGTAGCGATAGATGAGTGATAAGGAGAAGACCGTCTACCCCATGAGAGCGAGGAGTGACGGGAGTGAATCAGCGAGTCGGTGAATGTGGCGGTGGCGTGAGCAACAATTGCCAGGGCTTCCACCTTTTCACCTCCGTGATAACGGCAAACGAACCAAGAGGCTCTAGGAAAATAAGGGAGAAGAAAATCCATGAAATAATTCAAAGAAATCGAGTGCAGGAGTCCGGCACGTGTCCCCGCGGAGGCAATTGCAGGCAGAAGTGCGACGGCATGTTTTTTTTTTTTTAAGCAGATGTTCCGCGTGAATTATTGATCGCGTTGCAGAGACGGTGGCACGTCTGACAAACCCCGGGGTATGGGCCCCCTACACCCGTGTGTGTGCACGTGTTGTGCTCGCTCACAGCACTTACCCCAACTGTCTACTGAAGGCGATACGGGCGGGACCTTTATTTAGTTTTTGTTCGTTGCGTGCCGGTGAGGAACAGTGACGCAGCGATCAGCGCGATGCGCTACGAGCCCGGTGAACCGCGGTCGATTACTGCTCACGGATGCACATCGGCAACGGTTGTTTGAACCGGTTTTGTGGACTCCCCGAGGTCCGCTCAGCCTTAAATGAGTACCTTGGTGTGATGCGCAAATCATCGGCACTGGGCAAACAACGGGTGGCCAGGCGTGGTGCTGGCCACCCACCTCTTCGTATATTCTTTCCGTCCTAACAGCACTTTCCCCGACAGTCTGTTGAGGCTATGCAGGGAATCTTTGTCTGTTCGTGTGTGTCTGTGCGTCCGCGTGCGCCCACAATAACCGCGCGCTGTTGCGGTGCAGAGATGCGTACGCTGCAGCTCGATGCGGGGAGATGCAGCCGCGGCGTTAATAATACATGGCGACCTCATTTTACACGTGACTTATCCTCTCCGCAAAGTGACACCTCCAGAAGGTTTTTTTTTAATAACCGCGGCGAATTCCTTAACCGGCAAACGTTGTCAAATTTCTAGCAATTGCCGTGGGGTGATCTGCGCAAAATCCAGACTAACATCTTGCGATTCGCCAATTCTTAATATTTTTTTTTATCCTTTTCTCCGAAAATTGTCATCTTGATTGAGCTATTGGCGGCACTCCCCCGAAATGAAACATCCTTTGGGAATGCTCTCGGGGGCAATTCAACCCCCTCCCCTCACCCCTCCCCATGTTAGAGACTGGTCCACGGAAGTGGATATGACAGAACTTGCCTCTGAGATAACTTCAAGTGACCTTCATCATGACCTCTTTGTCTTGTGCCAATATGCTCAAGTCGTGGCCACATCTTTCTGGGACCAATCTCTTACGTCGTCGTCATCAAGCCATTTTTTGTTAGGTCTTCCTCTCTTTCCGGTTCCTTTAATTTTTACGAACAACAACAACAACTACACGCTTTTTATTTTCGCAGTTGTGGTCCATCCTCTATATGTGTCGAAATATTGCCCGTTTCCTTCCTATCACATCATCACATCTTCTTCTATGTGCAACCTTTTTCTTACTTCTACGGTTGTCACTCCCCCCCCCACTGCCCCCCTACCTACTGGAAGATTCATTGCTCAGGTTACTCTTGTGAAATGTGAGACTCAATCTGATCTCGTGAGTTCTCACCTGGTTTCAAGAAACGTTCGCTTGTAAACTTGAAACGCCAACTCGCTACACTTGAGAACCCAGTTTAATCACAGGCACTGGCTGAAACCTGGATTCGAACCGAGGTTCTCAGAGGTGCTGGCTCCGTGCGCCTCTGAGCTGTATGCAACAACAACAGCAACAGGATTTGGCAAGATGATGAAAAAAAAATGTGCACGTCCTTTTGTGTCAGAACACGTGACCGATTCCGTCCAATCTCAGATAGGACGTTACTGGAAAAACAACATATTTATTACAAGACAGTGCTACTTAGTTACTTAGCTCATACTGAAGAAATATTCAAATAATTATTCTACTTGTTTTCAGAAGTCCTGTGTCAACGTGCCAATGAGTCTGCGTTTTCTTCACGGGCCAGATATTTCCAGCGATAAACATGTCTCGTGCTTCTTAAAGCAGGAAGTCCAAACTCCTAAATATACGCATAGCTGCGAAGATGCATTATTTATTTGGTTGGGTAAATTGACTTTTTAACTCATCGGCATACGCTGTTTGCTAGTCGAACACACGCGGGGCCATATTTTCAAATACATTGTGGGCAGTTCCATCGAGAATAGTGGCAATCTTCGGGCTGAAATTGAATATTTGCCTGCCGCCAGATTTAATTGCCTGTGACCGCCAATCAGAACCGATGATTAACTCGACTGATTGCGTGTCCTGGAGAAAATTCGAGAACAGTAATTGGCGAGTAATTGTCGCGACATTGAGTTGAGCGGTCTCAATTTTTGTGTATGTGTGTGTGTGTGCGAGCATGCCACGCCGAGTCGGTTATGGGTTATGTTCTACAAGGTTGCGCGAGTTGTTTCAGATTTATTTATTTATTCCTCGGCTTCCTCCCACCTCTCTTTCACCGTGCTTCACATGCCACAACGCATTTCTTGCCGCGTTAGCTGCTCTATCTATTCCACCCCCCAACACCACCCTCCATTACTGCAAAGCGAGACACTCCCACCTTGCCAACATCACACCTGGGCTTCGGCCGTGATAGCCATCGATTATTTTGAAAAAAAATTCCCCTCCAGGTTTCACATTTCACGTGTCATTTAACCGCTTCTTTTGAACGTCGTGTTATTTCGAAGCTCACTTGGTTATAGCTCAGCAGGTAGAGCAGCAGGGGGGAGCCTTCCAATCACCACACCTCGAGTTCAAATGAGGGCCACGATCGGGTCTGCTCTTTCACCACCACCGCTACCACCACCACCACCATAATCACTTCAAATCATCAACCAACATCGCTCCAGGGTCTCTAAAATGAGTACCGCCTGGTGATGTTATTGCGGTTGTGCTGCAGGATCAGAATCTTTATTTAGACTGGAGATATCCGATGAGCTGTAAAGATATTTTTCACAGATGTCCAGCTGCTGTTTGTGTTTCGCGCTGGGGGTCGTGCCACGTGGTGTTCGGCACGGTGTCCGACGTTTCGTTCCACACGCTGGGAGCTTCTGCAGGAATTTCAGAAGAAGCTCCCCCCCCCCGTGCCCCCCGGCAGTAGCACGTGGGAGCGAAACGTCAGACATAGCATCGTGCCGGAACTACGCGTGGGCCCACAACCCGAAAACAACCTGGAGAGAGATTGCTCGGCTCGGCAGCAAACCAACGCGATTCGTTGTGCCAAAGGACATCCTGGCCGCTGCCATAGAGACGTGGAATTTTCTAATTTTAGTGCCACCGACCCAACCACGTGGTCACGGCGAGACTTGGACACGTTTTGGCCGCGCTGTTGATGACAATTGCGACACGCCTGGCCCGCCAATGCCAACACAGTCCATTGAACTGCATCTATAAAATGATGTCCTCAGCCTATCGGACGTTTAGTCTGACACTGCGGTTTCCACGCACACATTGAAGCCAAACACCCATTTAATGGAACTGGCCAAACCATGCATGCATAACAAATATCCAGGCTGCTGATTGGCATCTAAAATATTCATAAACTTTGTTTAGATTTTACCAGGTAAGGCCCACTGAGCCATATAGCTCGTTTTCAGAAGCTTAACGGGTTGGCTGATCACGAAATGTATAGCAGTCCGAATACTCTAAACCTCACGTCTCTAAATGTCCTGTTGCTACTCCTGCTGCTGTTGCTGCTGCTCCTCTTGCTGCTGCTTGCCGTTGTTGGTGCTGCTGCTGCTCCTCCTGCTATTGCTGCTGCTCCTGCTGCTTCTGCTGCTATTGCTGCTGCTCCTGCTGCTTCTGCTGCTCCTCATGCTGCTGCTGTTGCTGCTGCGATTTGCTGCTGCTGGGTGCCAGGTGCTCGCGGAGGGAGCTGTGTCCACGCGCCGAGGAGCCCAGGAGGTTCGCGGAGTTCCCTGCGGAGTGCGTGCGCCTTCACGTGCGGCCCGTCAGCGTCTCCGTCAGTGCCTCCAGCGTGCCGGTACGAGCGAGCGACAGTGCCGAATTATCCCAGTAGCACAAGTGGCTACACATGCTATGGGCCCCGCACTTTCAAGGGCCCCGCGATAAACGCTTTCAAGCTATCAATTTTGGTTCAGTGATTCTGCACTTGCTCTATTGCTATAGTACTATACTGCCTTCAACTTTTAAGAACGGCTGGGTGTTTAAGGATAGCGCTTTGTCGTATTGTCTGACTGTATAGCGAATTAAAAAATACAATTACTTTACTTTGCAAGTTAAAAATGTGTGTTTTAATATTTATGTGTTTTTTTTATCTAGGGCCCCTTTATAGCAAATATATACTACAGACCCCGCACTAGCTTAATACGACACTGGCGAGCGATCGTTCATATGCGAGTGAGTGTGTGTTCCATGAAGAAGGGCCATTTGCCCAAAACGTCGCCTATTGAATATTGTTTTTCATTTCGGGGTGCAGTGTTATTTCATTCGTGTTACTTTTTTTGCCAGCTTGCGAATGTCTGTGATTGTTAATATCGCCACTAGGGAGGCAAATGCGTCCGGGCGTGGTGCTGACCACACCAACTCTATCATGCGACGCGTCGGCGTCACTTGCCCCAACAGTCTGTTAAGGCTATACGGGGGGATCTTTTGCCTTTGTTGGGTGTGGTGCTGCCACCCGACCCCCATCGTGTGCTGTGCCGGCCTTCATAAGTGCTACTCGCTAGAGCAGCACTTGCACCCACAAGTCCGTGATGGCTTTGCGGGGTGTAAACACGCACTTTTGATCATAGACAGTAACAAGATCGATAAACAATTGGAGATGTCTGTCGGGGACTCGCGACTGGTACATTTCTGTGTCCACACATGGCCGCGCTTCGGTGTGAAGTGGGTCATCATTGCACAATGTACGAACAGACTTACAAAGACGAGCACGCGCGCACAAACACATCTCTCGAAATCAGATCAAGTCCCCCGTAAATCACGTGACTTCTTTGTGGCCACCTCTATTCTGAATCCCTTTTTACTCTCATCTATATACAGTTTCTCTACCTCTGGATCTATATCTAAATCAGCTCAAGCCTTCCGTACATCACGTGGCTTCCGCGTGGCCACGCCCACTCTGAACCCCTCCGCTCTCCCTGCCGCCCGCTGTGAAAACAGACGCCGCTCCTGCTCCTTCATGCAGCAGTAGCGTCGAGGCCCTGATGCAGACTCTCCCTCATGCTTCTCCTCATCTCTCCTCACTCTCTGCTCCCCTTTCTACGTTCCTTTCCCATCCTCCTTATTTCCCATTCATGATCTCTTCCCTTTCTCGTTCCTTTAACTTTTCCCTGTGTATTACATCGTTGACTCGAATCATCTTCCCCTAGTGTGCCCAGGATACAATAAGCATTTATTTACACAATGACAAAGATCCTCCCCTGTAGTAATTCACACTTTTGGACCAAGTGCCTTAGCGAGCAGCACCGATGAAGGCAGAACGGCACACTAAGGGGTGGGTGACCAGCACCACGCCCGGCCGCCTTTGTCTCACCAGTGCTGATGTTTACACACCGCATCAGGTTCTCATTTGAGGCCGAGTCGGGCTAGGGGAGGCCCAGGGGACCCGTTTAATATTTTCACCATCGTTATTGGTCATACACATGGCAAAAAAGACAAAGATCCCCCGTGTAGCCTTAACATACTGTAGGGGCAAGTGCTGTTAGCGAACACCTATAAAGGCCGACACGGCACACGAGCGGGTGGGTGGCCGACACCACGCCCGGCCGCCTTTGTCTCCCTAGTGACGATGTTTACACATCACACCAGGTTCTCATTTGAGGCTGAGTCGACCTAGGGGAGCCCCAGGACCAGTTTAGATAATCGTCACTGGTGTTGGCCGTGAGCGGCAATCGAACCTGGATCGCCAGGTTCGTAGCGCAGCGCGCTACCGCTCCCCATCTCGCATACACATGGCACGCACACAGACATGCACACAGACAGACGCACGCACACAGACACGCGCACAGAAGGGTCGCGCTGATTGGCGTAGAGTTGCACGACGGACCATACGCACACTCCGGTGCCCGCGTAGCGATGGAATTCTCTCTTTCAGTGAATGATCGAACGAATGAGCCGAGCGAAGAATGAGCGGCCCACTGAATGCGCGCGTGATTGCGCGAGAGCGCGAGGCGTGGCCACTCCCCTGATGGCGCATTGTGATTGTGCCTGATTGCAAAAGTGGCTTCATTTGTGTCAAAAAACAGCGTTTTTTGGGGGGGTGGCAGGGGGTAGAGTTGGTGGGGGGGGGGTAAGCATTTGTGTGATTGCTGAAGTACTAGAAGGTGGGTCCTGTGCACGTGCGTGTCTGTGTTTGGGTACGTGTACGTGCGCGCGTGAACAGCACTTGCCCCAACAGTCTGACAAAGCCTTACGGGGGATGTTTGTGCTTGTACTTGTGGGAGAAGCGATAGTGTAACTGTTAAACGCGCCTCGAACCTGGCGACCCGAATTCGATTCTCGCTCCACTGGGGAGACAAAGGTGATCGTGCGCAGTGCTGGCCACCCAACCCCCATCGTGTGCCGTGTCGGCCTTCACGGGACGCTCGCAAACAGCACTGTACCCCAGCAACTTATGGAGGCTGCCCGGGGTATCTTTATCTGTTGTTCGTGTGTGAACGCGTAGCGTGAACGTGTGAATGTGGTAGCGCTCCACGATTCAGCATCACTTGGGAGTCCGGGGTACAAAGGCTACGATGAGATGGACACCGTCCCGTGCGTGATTTCAGCACCGCACGCAGTCAGCGCTTAATCGCACTTGACCCTGCAGTGTTGTTAGTGACCAATTCAAACATTATGGGAGGACGCACGCGCGCACGCACGCGTCGATGTGTGAGTGCGTGTGCGCGCGCGTGTGTGTGTGTGCGTGTGTGTGCGCGTGCGTGTGTGTGTGTGCGCGTGCGTGTGTGTGCGCGTGTGTGTGCGTGCGCATGTGCGCGCGCGTGTGTGTGTGTGTGCGCGTGTGTGTGTGCGTGTGTGCGCGTGTGTGTGCGCGTGTGTGTATGCGTGTGTGTGTGCGCGTGTGTGTGTGTGAGCGCGTGTGTGTGTGCGTGTGTGTGTGTGCGCGCGTGTGTGTGAGCGCGTGTGTGTGTGTGTGCGTGTGTGTGTGTGCGCGTGCGTGTGTGTGTGTGTGAGGGTGTGCGTGTGTGTGAGCGCGTATTCTTATGGTTGAGTCACCACTCTCAAGTTTTCTGCCCAAGGCCAAGCTCATTGCTCCAGCTGCATCATCCATCCCAGATGACCTCACTCATACCCCCTTCACGTCGTAACACCGGCACTCTGCACGAGGGCTCTTGATCCGTGAGTAGAGGTGGAGCGTTGGGGTGGCGTCCCTTCTCCTTCATCAGCGGTGTCTTTTTTTAAGTGACACCATCAGATTACGCAGTTGACAATCAGGCGCACGATTATTGGTAGTCCATCAAATCCACTTTTTACGTCGCATTTGTTCATCTGTTTGTCTGCATCTCGTGATGGGTCCGTCGGCCGATCACTCCATCGATTTGTCTGTCCGTCGCTGTGTCGGTGGGTCAGTTCAGTGTGTCGGTGTTTCTGGGTGTCCGTGTGTTGATCTGTCCGCGTGTCCGCGTGTGTCGATCTTGTATCCGTGTGTCCGCGTGTGTCACGCAGCTCGTGATCACGGCGGAAAACGCCCCCGAGCTGTCGGGCGGAGTGAACTGCACGTTTGGCGGTCACGCCGAGGTGGAGGGGCAGCTCGGCGAGGGCAGCATCACGTGTCTCTCGCCGTCACACAAGCAGATCCAGGGCATCGCCATCCAGCCCGGTACGACCGGGCCCACTTGCCATCCCACTGACCGACTGGCTCACCAACTGATCGGGCAACCGACTGACCGATCAGCTGACCGTCGGACCCTCCGACTGACCAACTGAACGACAAATTGGCCGATTGACTGCTCAGCCAACTGTCAATCCAATTGACCAATGAACAACTGACTGACTTATTAACCGACCGATTGGCTGCCTGACTGCGCAACCAACTGACCAATAAACAACTGAATGACTTATTAACCGACCGATTGGCTGACCGACTGCCCAACCAACTGACCAACGAACAACTGACTGACTCATTAACCGACTGATTGGCTGACAGACTGCGCAACCAACTGATCATTGAACATCTGTCTAATTAACCAACCAAATGGCTGACCGACTGCGCAACCAACTGACCAATGAACAACTGACTGACTTATTGACCGACCGATTGGTTGACCGACTGCACAACTAACTGACCAATGAACAACTGACTGACTAATTAACCAACCGATTGGCTGACCGACTGCCCAACCAACTGACCAAGGAACAACTGACTGACTCATTAACCGACTGATTGGCTGACAGACTGCGCAACCAACTGACCAATGAACATCTGACTGTCTAATTAACCAACCAATTGGCTGACCGACTTCGCAACCAATTGACAAATGAACAACTGACTGACTAATTAACCGACCGATTGCCCAACCAACTGACCAATGAACAACTGACTTGACCGACCGACCAATTGATCCACAGAGCAACCGGTGACCCGTTGATCCACTGACCGACTGCCGTTGGTGTCTAACGTCCCCTTCGCTGCGTCTAACCAGCGCACCGTGCCGAGGACTGCGAGAGAGGGATAGCAGTGGTGGGCGTCAGCGCGATGACCTCTTGACCTTGACGTGTGTCCGCTCCGCGTTGTCAGAGGGCACGAGGGTGGTGCGCCTGCAGCTCCGCTCTCGCGAGACGGGGCTCGAGTTCGTGGGGACCGACCTCACCTTTTTCAACTGCAGCGAGCACGAGTCGTGAGTCGCCCACTGCTTGCCGGCACTCGCAAAACACGCCTCCTCGCGCGGTGTGCACGTGGCATGCGTGCGTGTGTGTAGTATATGCGCATTTGTGTGTGTGTAGGTCAGTATTCTTCGGTGGGTTAGCTGTAGCGTAGCGATTAGCGCGCTGCACTACGAACCCGTCGACCCGGGTTCGATTCCTACTCACGGCCAACATCAGTGACGGATATCTTAACCGGTCCTGGGCCTCCCCTCGGTCAACTCACCCTTAAATTAGTCACCTGGTGCAGTGTGTAAACGTCAGCACTTTGGAGACAAAGACAGCCAGGGGTGATCCTGGTCATCACCCCAAGGGTCTATTCAAGGGGGAGGATGTATTTGTATTTCTTAATATATTCATGCGTCCACCTCATTACACCCCACCCAAACCATCACAGAGACAATGAGTCCACTTTACTTGGTAGCACCGCCCATTGATTGTGATGATGATAATGACGTCGATGATGACGATGACGGCGACCATGATGACGTCACCGCCGCCGTCCCGCAGGTGCCTGTCTTGCGTGGGGAGCCCCTACCCCTGCCACTGGTGCAAGTACCGTCACGTGTGCACCGACAACCCGCACAGCTGCACCTTCCAGGAGGGCCGCGTCAACGTGTCCGAGGTCGGTCGCTCGCTCGGTCGCACACTCGCTCGCTCACTCACTCGGTCGCTCACTCGCTCGCTCGGTCGGTCGCTCACTTGCTCGCTCGGTCTGTCTGTCGGTCGCTCGCTCAGTCACTCGGTCGTTCACTCGCTCGGTCGGTCTGTCGGTCGCTCGCTCAGTCGCTCACTCGCTCGCTTGGTTGGTCTGTCGGACGCACACTCGCTCACTCGGTCGGTGGGTCGGTCGCTCGCTCGCTCGGTCTGTCTGTCGGTCGCTCGGTCAGTCGCTGACTCGCTCGCTCGGTTGGTCTGTCTGTCGGTCGCTCGGTCGGTCTCTCGGTCACTCACATGAGAGCTGATTGTCGCTGCGGAACGGAAACACTCTTCGATTGTGAACGTCAGACGTAGAAACGGTCCAGCTCAGAGTGTTTCACGTGGGCGCAAGGCCTCACCCTCACAGAGAGTGCCTCCCGGTTGTTTAGTGCTAGCATGGGTGGGGGGGAAGGATGGCGAGGGAGCCCCCCCCCAGCCCCCCACGGAAATCACGGCCTTCTGCTGTCACGATTAACCGCCTCTTGTGCCGTGTTGTTTATTCATGACGAACCACCAGCGCCTTCGATTGCAATCAGATGAATGGTGCTGCGGTTCTGGCTGTCGTGAAAAATTGAGATCCGCTCGAGAGGAGCAGCGGCAGGCTGAGGAGGAGGGGAAGGAAGGGTGTGGATTTCTGTCGCTTGCTTCCTTCCGCTTGCCGATGGGCTGAGTTGGACACCCGCTCCTGCAAGGATCGCCCCCCTCCTCCTTCTCGACTCTGCTTGAAGCTGAGCGTTGCTCGAGGAAGCCTCCGGGAGTGTTCCTGCAACAGCCGGAACCGGTCGCTGCCTATTGCGGAAGTTCACGGTTCGAATCTGACGTCCGCCCTGGTTATTGCTGCGGGGTTAACGATCGTAATAATGCCCCGCGTCGTCTTCTTCACCCACGGTGGACGTCAAAGATCCCTTGGGGTCATTCGCAAGAGTCGGAGCCGACGTGTGCCGGACATAACGGCCGCAAGTTATTCCACGTTTGCACAATCACCCCGTGGGGATCTACACAGCGATCACCCCCCCCCCTCCCCCCTCCTGGAAAAAAACTTGGCAGGACCCTCCGGAATACAAAATCACGAGATTCGGTGAGATTTTCGTGCGGGCGAGCGAGTGTTGTTTAAAAGAATAAACAAATGCACGCTGCTGTGTGGGGAGCCACAGCACACAGCTTGCATCTCGCAGTGGCATTAAACGTCGTCGCATCTCTCGAGGGCCGTCACCCACTGCTCACCCCACACGCATTCAGTGCAACAGAGCACCTCACACTTGCCATTCCCTACAAGTGTCGGGACACATTAAAGCTGTGGCAGACTCCGAGCGGAGCGCTCGGCCCCGGGCGGCCAGGGATTTGCCACTCCGGTAGCACGCGGGCACAGGAAGTACACGGGCACACAAAGTCGTCGTGTGCGTATCGAGCGAGCACTTAGGGGACGTCCGTAAATGACGTCACGCACCTGGGGGGGGGGGGGTCAGACATTTGTGACGATGTGTGGCGAGGGGGGGGGGCGATTGAGAAATGTGACGTCACATCAAAATGCGCAACTTTAAGTAAATATGGACAACACGTTCTACTTAATTAAATAGACTTTTTAATAAATGTTTTCTCCGACAACATCAGAGTGCAGCGCCACATTAAATACGCACTACAATGACAATAGTTTAAAGCGATTTTAAGCATGTTTTAGTTTTTTTTTTGGGGGGGGGGCGGGGCAGAGCTTTGTGACGTCATATTTGAGGGCGGGTCTGACTTTTTGTGACGCCGTGTGACGAGGGGGGGGGAGGTTCAAAAATCGTCCAAAATCGCGTGACGTCATTTATGGACGGCCCCTTAACACGGTGCAGCCACGCACACAACGCACTTATTACCCCCACACCCCCACCCCGCCCTTCGTGATCGTCCAAAGAGGGGGGGTAAAGGCTCAGCGCTGCAATCGCCTGCTCACGCCACTGCTGTGAGAATGGCGATTTGGGGCGACGTTAGCACGCCGGCCATGCTCATTCGAAGGTCGGGGTGCCCACACGGTGCCCCGCCACACGTGACCCCTCGGTGAACTCGACCGTCGTCAGCCCGTTGGTACTGCCGCTGCCAGGTCCAATTGCGCAAAGCATCCGGGGTCTTTCGAGGATCACTGAGCCATGGTCTATCCACAGCTGGATGGACGCGTCGCTAAGCCGCTGCAAGCCCTCACGCGGTTCTCGCGACGCAACGATCCGTCTCTGGCTCATGCGACACGAGCGACAATTGGCTCATATCTCCTACCCGTGTAGGGGGTAAGGCTTAGTTCTGCCCTGAATGTACGTACTGCATGTTGAACTTCCTTCGCACCGTACGTGACGGACCGTGCTGATGGGAGGTGCCCCACAGTTGATGCCATTGGCAGAGTAACATGAACCACCTCGAAGGATCTCATTGGACAAGACTCACAGAGCCAGACTCAGTCACCTTTAAGATTCCAATTTAAATGTCGATGGCCGTGCACCACAGAGTCAGACGAATGCACCCTGAAGAATTGTTAGCACGATAGAGGTAACGCATGAGGCTCATTCAGCCAGACTAAGTCGTCACGTTAAATAATCGTTAGCGTCACAGCGTGTATGACTGAGGCTCACAGAGCCAGGCTAAGGCACAGTCGTGAATCCTGAGCGCGAGAGTGGAAACGCTTGAGGCTCGCAGAGCCAGACGAAGGCAACATTCTTAACATTGCGGCGTTAATGACGGAACCTCGCCGAGTCGGATCGAAGACGCTTCTAGGAATCCTCCTCGGGCTGCGTTGCCTACGCCGGGAATTCAGACAGCCAATATCAAGACCCTGCATAGTCCCGGGAGCCCACAATCCACTCCCCCCCCCCCCCATTCTCCGCACCGCACCCCCCAGTTTATACATAACTCCCATTCATATTCTCAGTCGCGTGAATTGCAATATTGTCTTGGTGGCGGCCAGTGAAGCCCCCTGTTGTTTAGCCGTAGCCCAAGGGCATCTGCGGTCAGCGGCTATGGGGGGTGAGTTACACAGAGGAGGGTTTCCAATTTGTGCCAAGGCCGTGAGCATTCGCGTCCACGTGGAGACAAGTCCTTGATGATCCCATTATCCCACATTACAAAAACGCCGGGCTTTTGTGTGCCAGGGTAATTGGTCAAATTACTCCCCACCCTTAACCCCCCCCCCCCACACACACACACCCCACGGCCATTCGTAATATAAAGCGTTATATTGTCCTGGAAATGCATGAACGGGCGTAATGGCCGGCTAAGCAAATTGCTCAAACAGTGAACTCGGCAATTTAAAAAGAAAAAAAACGGATTATATATAGGCAAAAAAAATTAACGCACGGAAATAATGGAAGGAATCAATAAGGCAAGCAATGCGTCAATATTTAATCAGCCTGTTAATTCGTTCGATTACTCTCGAGTGACTTTGGTTTGCGCCGCGGATTGCTTTGAGCCATCGCAATACAGGTTTTTGGGGTTAGATCGCGTAAGTAGAAATGCGTCGTTAAATGGTCATCGTGGTCGGTCCACTGCTGGATGAAGGCCTCCGCAAGCCACCGCCTCTTGCGATCTTGCGGTGCAACAAATTCGCCGTGTTGCTCGTTCCATCTCCTCCGTTGGAAGTCCCCTCGGTACGCGCTCCATTCCCTTGACTGCCGCTCCGATCTCAGTCTCGACCAGCGACCATCCGATTTGCACGGTTGGCTACGTACGGTGCAAAAGAAGTTCAACATGCATACAACTCCGTGTATGTTTTTGTGCCTGCATCAGCCTCTGCGTGGTTTTCTCTCCACCCACGCCTGCCTTTTGTGTATCTCCCCCTAAGCCTCTGCCTCTCTGAGTCCATCTCCACGTCTGCCTCTGGGACGTTTGTGAACAAGAGCTTTATAGCTCATCGGATTCCTCCAAAATAAATACATATTCTGTTTCTCTCAATTCTTGTCTCTCATCCTCTGTGTCTCTCTACACCCTTATCTCTGTGTCTGTCCATATTGTTCGCTTTGAGTCTCCAAATCTCACTTCAAGACTCACGACCTCTCCCCAATTTTTTGCAAACAGTGGAAAAATCCTTGAGCATTATAACTGCTCAACCGGAGCTATAAGGGTTGTGATACTTGCATTGTCTTTGTATTATTGGCCTTTTGGCGTTGTTTGGTCTAACACTGGTGAGACGACGTCACAGAAAAGGCCGTCTCTGGTGTAGCCCAATCGATTTCAAAGGCAATGCATATATCAAATCTAGAATTAATGCATATATCATCAGAGCATGTTCGTTTGCATGTTTTGCCACAAGTACGTGTGGTTAATGCAGACGTGATTCCTTGCAAAAGGTGTCTGTTTGCTGCCTGAACATCTTAACACCTCCTGTTTTTATTGCCAGGAAGGATAATATCTCGACGTGATTTTTATTCGTAATTTTGATACTGCCAAAAAAAAACCTCCCATAGATGTCCGCGCAGCCTCTAACTCTTGCACAAATCTCCACCAGTTGCAGTCCCACCTACCTCTCTCTTTCTCCAACTCTGGCAGGGGTTTTCAATGTCATCGCCGCCGGTATTATTTCGGTGTTCGGCAGTTGTTTGGCAGCGAAACGGCGCATGGCAGGGGAAGAGAGAAGCGGACAGAGAGAGAGAGAAGAAGGAGAGAGGGAGAGCGAGAGAGAGAGCAACCAAAGCCGGAGCCAGGCGAGAAATGTAATCGTGGAACATCCTGCCCAAATAAATCAATCCGTCTCTCTGATGTCAATGTTGGGGGGAACGTGGTGCCTCGATAGGGGCCAGAAGCTCCTCCTTACCTCGAGCGCCCAACCCCCGACCCAGCCGCGCACTACATCAAGCAAGGGGCAACGTCAATGGATTCACCACGTCAAATCTCCCCCATCGCAGCGCTTCGCCCCGCTCATCGGCCACCCGCTTCGCCACCCCCGCCGTCATCGGAGAACGA